ATATTTTTAAATATATTTAATTTAAAGTACATATATTTAAAAAAAACCCAAAAATCTCTTTTCTGTCCCCTTCACCAGATCGGCACAGAAATTGCCCTGCAGATAGGCGGGCACTTTAGCACCCTGTCAACGCATTAAATTACAAAAACAATGGAAACAACAAAGCAAACCTCTTCTGCGCCTGCAGCACACTGAGCGGCGTAGGATGTGACAAGCACCAGCGGCAGCACAAAGGGAGGATCACAACAGCAGAGTCAGGGGAAGAACCAGAGCAGCTCAGGCCAGGGGGGAACAGCAGCCCCAGAGACTTCCCTGGTTCTCCAGCTTTTCAGGAGGTTTCATATCAAGTAGCTTAGCTTGCACCCCAGACCAAACACCAGCTTTGTTATCGCCTCAGAAAGCAGAAAAGGGAAGAAACGTTTCTTTCCAGTGGAGCGCACTAGATTATTCTCCGTTCACAGCACTAACTTTGTGGTAGAAGTGACGGCTAGTACATTCGTGAGAGATACCTGAGGCCTTCTCCAACGGCGTTTGGCTTGGAAAAGGAAATTCGTAAGCAGAAAGGTAATTCCAGTCACATCTCAAATCTCCTGCTAAAACAGCGGGAAAGGGAGTAAAGCAACAGTCTCACCTTCAGCACCACCTGCATCCGAGATGGAGCCGACAGCGGCACGCAGAGCAAAGCGAAGGAGGAGCAGCCAAGCAACAAACAGCAGCTCAAGAAGACGAGGCAGGAAATGTCTTCGCCTCGGTGAGAGGTCCAAAGATTTACAGTTAATGAACCCAGTGACATTGTTTTAAATAAAACTGTAAACCATCGTTTGAGAACAGTTAGAGGGTGCATGCTATCTTACAGTACCCGTACAACACTATCACCTGTGGAATGAAGGTGAGGACCTGCATGCTTTGGAAAAGGTCAGCCCTCATGGTTCAGCTCTGATTTCTTTCTGGTGAAGCTATCAATGTTTTTCACAACTTACTCTTGCTGCTCAGAAAGCTCTGGCTGGGAGGCCCAGCAGCACATCCACAAGCTTAAAAGCCAGTGTTCATAGGAACACGCATTTTCTCCCGTTATCGGCCCAATGCCCAGGTGTTTTATAGCAAATAAGGAAGGAACTGATCTGCAACCCTCGCTCCTGCAGCTTTCAGATAGGAATATTATTACGCTTGCCCTCATTAGCACCCTAAGGAGCAATGCTTTGATCCGATACTTAATAGCGTGAGGCCAGATGTCTAGAAGCTTTACAGGAGAGAGCATCTGCAGCCTAGCCCCTGCCTCGAGATCCAGTATCAGGATCTTCCCACCGGTATAGGCTTCCAGCACACCAGGGTGTGGGATATCCATGATCCCGTCTGGCAGACGGCTGAATGTCGCACATTCTAAACTTCCAGACAGCATCATCTGGATGAGACGGACAAAAATGCCTGCAGCTGCTATTTAAAGCTGCTGAATATTCTGGTGTGTCTGATGGTGGGTGGCAGAGACATACTCCGTGATGGACAACAAGGACCCTCACGGGCATGGCCATGGCAAGCAGGTTTTCATGGGTTGTTAAGTCTCATGTAAGCTTTCAACAAGCCAAGTGTAAAATACCACGGGATGCATGAGCAGGGATGGAAGCCTGATGTTATATCCCGTGCAACATACAGCATATGCCTATGGATATACGACTAGGTAACAACTCCGGGGCGGAAGCCACAGACGAGGAGGCCCATTCTGCTGCCTTTACTAGAAAAATCTCCCGCCGAGTTCCTTGCCCCCTCTGCAGCAGTCCATACTCTTCCTAGGGCATCGCTCCATGAGGGCTTCATTTCTATGGGACTCTGCTTTCAGACGGTGTTCAGTGGGCCCTGGGGTCCAATCCCCACTCTGGTTCAGATACACACCTAAGCTGGCTGCAGTCTGCGTCACAAAAATTCCCTCCAGGCTACATGGCCTAGGGGAATGCAACAAGAGAACAGCCTGTTGCTTCCTGCCACCAGGCAATAATTAATATCAGCAAAAACCTACTGCGCTCTTCTTCCCAAATGCTCAGAGACAATCTTTTGCTGATTAAATACTCTTAAGTAGTAAGAGGTACCAAAGCAAGCCGCCTTTGGCAAGTCACCATGCCTTGTGCTGTACTGGAAGATGGGTTGTCACTGACTCTCTCAAAGAGGGCTGTCCGCACCACTGGAATTGCACTCCTGACGTACAACTGCCCTTGGGGTTCACGGGCACGCTTCAGCCTCCTCGCCAGCAACAGCATCCTGGGACTAACGTAACACACGCAAACCTACCCTCGGACCCAGCAAACCAACGGCTCCTCACTTCTGGTTTCATGCTCTTTCTCCTGCAGACAAGAGCTGCCACGCAATGGCGACACAGTCTGTTCAACGCTATTTCTAGATCTGTAAATATTTTTACGGCAGCATGTAAAATATCCCCCTTTTTTATACAGGGAGAAACCAAAGCTCGGAGAGGTGTTGCAAATTGCCTGCAGCCAGCAAACCAGTGGCAGACTTGGCAACCAACCCGTCTCTTCCGGGCCAGCCTAGCAGCCGGGTGGCGTGGACACGCTGCCCGCTGTCCAAGCAGGGCACTCGGCTTGGGAGAAGGCAAAAGCATCCTGTTGCCTTTGGAGCAGTTTGCCGAGCGCGGTCCCAAAGGGCCGTGTGGTTTCAGTCCTTAAACACCATGCTCAGGCAAGCTCTCGGCAGGACGGCAGCTAAGCCAATGCAAAGACCCAAAGGACTTCTCGTGTCTCCCCTTTCCAACTCCATACACGTGAAGGTAAAGAAAGAACTGCATCCCTCTGGTAGAAAATACAGCACCAAGATAACCGGAGTGTCCCAATAAAAATAAAAAACAAAAAGACACCTCGTGTCCAGCTTTGGGGTGCAAAGTGAGCAGGTCGGTGTCGGTGCCTGTCAGAATCACTGTGCAAGGTGAGGGACACAAAATGCCACCAGCTGGGGCATGGGGACATTGCCAGGGCAAGGGGGGGGAGGAACGCTAAGGCTTGCTTAACATTAACAGACATACGTATCTGGAACAGTTACTCCTTTACAGCCTCATAAATTAGTGAGCCCATAAAAACAGGAGCCTTGAGGAGGACATGCCAAAACCCTGCCATGCAAACCATGTTAATTATGATAATAGGCAGATTTTAATAAGCCAGTTCCTGGCTCCCACACTTTCACCTATAAAACACACATATTTCCAAGGCCAGGGGATCTCAGAAATACCTGCCAGCCATCTAATTGTCTAAACCCCAGTGGCACAAAAACCATGTTAGAGGGTTTGTCACACCTCATATCCCTTTGAACTTTTCTAGTTAAAAAAAAAAAAAAAAAAAAAAAAAAAAAAAGAGAGAGATCAGATGAAAGAAAACTCCTCTGTAAACCCCAATCGAGTCACAGCAATGAAACAAAAGTCTCGGCACAGGCGGTGGTAGTGGTAAAGGAGACAGGAGGGGAAGAGGAGGGAGATTAAAGAACGGTAAATCATCTTCTCCAGACGACGGGACCGGGGAGCTCCTGGATTCCTGGCTGCGCAGTTCTGGCAGCTGACGCTGCTCTTCCTCCGATGCCCTGGCAGAGAGTCAGGCAGCACCACCGTCCGCTTCAAACTTCTGCCAGTCCGGTCTGTCGGAAGCGCGTCTGTGCTGAACACTGGAGCGTGGAAGGTGAGGAGGGGGAGCCTGTCCCATCAGCTAAGACTTCAGCTCCCGGTCAGGTTTCATGCTGAAGGGTTCCAGCCTCTCGCTCTCCGGCAGCATGCTGTTCAGCCGCTCCATCAGCGGGATCGTCTGGTCGATGCCCATCTGTATACGGCGGAGGATGGCAGACATCTCATTGACCTTCTGGATCTGCTCCGCATACTTGGCATACTTCTTCTGGCGCTCCTGCATGAAGCTATAAAGAGTTTCCACAGAGAGGTCCATCTGTTTAAAAACAACAAGCAGAGCGAGGTGTATTAGGCCAACTGTTACCGCAGGCTTTTCAGCTCACTGTCTTTTCTAAAAGCAACCTGAGAAGCACCTTAGATGCCCCACTGGAGATATCAGCCAGGTACAAAGGAGCTCTGCTGTAGGTACATAACCAGTTTGTTATGAAATGGGATGATCCATAGCTGTATACCAGGGAGGACATACTACCACCTCAGTTCTAACCCTAAAAACTGAGTATTTGATCAGAAAAGTCTTTATTTACAGGGTTGAAAGCCAACAGGCACCGCCAGGGATTTCCTAATAAACCATACGCATATCCTCCAAGTTATCCAAACCCAGAGAACTCATGGCCTCCCCCTACACCTGTAGTATATTTTCAGTGGAGATCGTTCATTTGCAAGCATTAAGCTCTACCAGACTTGCCAGGGCTAATTTCATCAGCTTAGCCAGGTTACTCTGTGACTAAGCCAGGGCTGTTTTTACCATCGTCCTCTGGAAAACCGCCTTGAGAGAGAACCACAATGGATTGCTAGTGTCCCTAATTTCCCCGAATCCTAAAAATAAAAGTGTTATGAGTGACCCCAGGAGAGGCATTAAGTGCACCAGCCATGCAATTAAACACGGTAAGTACCCAAAGACGACTCGAGCATGATGACAATGTCAGGAACTGCAGCGCTGTTCCTGCCATGGAGTGACAAAGGCAGCCTTTGTAATTCACAGCCCAACTTTCTCTTCAGCCAGACCTGCAAACTCCAGGCAGGATTCTGCCGATAGCTCTTAGTACTGTACACGCATGAGCTGAGTCGGACCGTTTAAGTTGTTTTACACGTTATAAGACATACCATATATTCAGAGAGCTTGGTAACAGTTTGGTCCCAAGCCCTCAAGTGCCCACCTGAAGCTCGGTTGCTTTGGCTAGCCACAGCTGTGCTCAACAAGCCCAGTCAGTCCGGCTCACCGGCTCTTCAGACTGGTACGTCCGCGCAGTGGGCATGCATCCACCACGCTCTGTCCTCGTGGAAAGCAGTCCCCTTCGCTCAGGACTCTGTCCATGCCCACAGCGGCTGCCGAGCGAAGGGCAGGAGAAGACACACGTTGATCAGTTTTAGCCCACTGCTGCCTCTTATCACCATTCTTCCAAACCTCTCCGATCTGAATACCCCCAAAGGAGGTCACTGCTCGTGAGGAACGAACCTCAGGGAATTGGGGCTGACAACTCCTGGTCTACCAGGAAGCACAGATTCAAACAACATCCCTCGCTTTAACTATGCGACAGCATCAACCCATTTGGTGGAGGACAGTGACCATACCTGTCATCAGGGACAACACAAATTTATCAGTGCAGTGCTAAAAAACAAGCCCTGATGACCGGGTCTGACTTTCATAGTACTTAATGGGCAAGTGTAACCCTGAGCCAGTACGCCGTGGTGTGGGGCTGTCGGGGAGAGCCTGCAGCAAGGGGAGGGTTTGGGTGGAAGGGGTGCAAAGCTGGAAGGGGCATCCCCCACCGAGGAGGGAAGTCCCACCAGACAGAGCAATGCTGTCTCGCTGGCGACAGCGACGTTTGGCACTGGGGAAAAAACTGGGGGAGCTGGGTTTGCCGACAAGCGTCCCGTTCGAGCCCTGGGGAAGACATCAAGACAAAAATAGTCGGGCAAGAAAATGTTTTTTTTGAGAAACCTAAGTTACAAACAGCATTGAAAACAAACACGCAAGTTTCCGCTGAACTGTCATGGGGATTAGGAAGCATTTTTTCCCCCCCTATCACCTCCATCAGAGCTGGATACAGGACCAATTAACCTTTTATTCTGTCTGTACTTTCTAGTGCTCTCAGGCTGAATTCTTCCTCTTTGCCTCTGAGCTTTCCTGTGAATTCCTCCCTCCACGCTTTCATGCAGGGGACAAATAAAAACGAGCAGAGCAGGAAACTCCAAATAGAGTGGAAACAATTTAAGCCTACACAGGGGTTTCTATTAAAACCCCAGCTTAATAATTTAGTAGCTTGGCGCTAGCTCTGTAAATTGGAGTGTGTAAAAAGCAGACCACCACCAGGTCTGCACGGGATGGAAGTAAATTCAATCCAGCGCCTAAAAACGTCCTACCTAATGAGAGACGGTGGCGTGGAGTGGCAGCCAGTCGGAAACCTGCCAAAAGCCAGCACGCCTCATTAAACCGAGCAGCGCAGAGACCCAGGCAGAAACCTCCTCTGGTGTTGAAGTTCTCCTCCACTGGCAGGTTCTCCACGTGGCCTCACAGCACTGCACAAGGGGTAAAGCTCGCATCTACCCAGCTCTGAAAACAAAAAAACCCCAAAGACCCCCTTTTCTCTCCATGCCAGTATTTCCATCTGTTGACTTTTATGCTCCTTGTGTAAGTACCAGTAACATCCACTTACTGGAGGGGAACATGGGGAGAAGCTGAAGCTGACCTGCGAAAGGAAGAAGAAACGCAGAGCGGCCTTCCAACTCTTTGCTACTTTTGGACACATTCACAATGGCTATAAAAAAAGCCGCCTCACAAAAAAGAGAAAAGGTGGAATTTTTTTTGTGTTCCCGACACCTAGAGTTGAAGTTTCCCTTCTGCGGGAGGCCACGGCAGCTGCACAGCCAGCGACACGACAAGGAGGACTGAAGCTGAGTAATTGTGAGGAAAGGTCAATTTTTACTCAGACTGAACCTGGTCTTTTTAACTAGGGGGGGGAAAAAAAAAAAAAGCTACGTGTTAGCTCCTGTATATAAATGCCAATGACTCTTTGCAGCTTTCCTTGAAGTGAGCCTAAATACACACTTACATCCTTCCTGCCTCCTCCCCCTCCAGGCAAGCTCCTCCAGTGCCAGACCTTGTGCTTTTACCTCTGCTGTCCCATTCCTCTGGCACTCAGACAGGGCCTTCAGTTGCAGGACTCAACAGGGTCAGCCCTATTTACCCACTCCAGAGACTAAAACTGTCCTTTAGGAATCTGCAACAAACAGGGAACGCACATAAGAATCCACTTAATTTCCATCTATTTAATTCCATACAGTAGCAATAAAAAGCATCTGGAGAAGGGGAGCTTAGGGAGTCTGCTCCCTTGCCTATAGCCAAGGTAGTCCATGCTTTTCAAGACACCCTCGAGGGTCAGATGAGTGAATCTGCCTTCTCTGAGCAGCTCCCATCAACTCCCACCTCCCTGACATGAGGCCCTGCCACATTCTCTTCTGGAAAACACTCAGGTCTCAGCCTTCTTGCCCGTCCCTGGCTGAGAAGCTCTCTGGGAAGCACAGCAAGACACCTCAGAGCCAGCAGCTCTTCCACTGCCCTACAACCATCTGCAAGTATTTATTTCATAGAATCATAGAATGGTTTGGTTGGAAGGGACCTTAAACACCACCTTGTTCCAACCCCGCTGCCACGGGCAGGGACACCTTCCACCAGACCAGGTTGCTCCAAGCCCCAGCCAACCTGGCCTTC